TATGCCTCAGTGGTTTTATGCTTAGAAACGGGGGAAAGGAGTCCCCCAGACTCCTTGTGAAATAGGGTGAGCACACCCTCGTTTTCGGGTTTTGGTGTACTCCAGTCTCCCTCTGTGGATGGTTTCCAGGTATTTCCTATGCTGAGCAAAGATTTGGTCAAGAGAAGCACAAAATGTAGCAGGGGCCTCTTAAAGGTTGGAAAGGATGTGGGCCTTGAAGATCAAGTTTGGAGCAAGTCAAATAAGCAGAGAAGTAAAGAGTAGAGTGTGAGCTTGGGCCACTGTGCAAACAATACAGGCTGGTAATGGTCAGTTTGGACTCTGAGATTTATATCATCCCCTGCTTATGTGAGCTTCACATGTGGGTCATCTCTCTTAGGTCCTTTTTCTGGCTGAGATAAAATCTGCAACAGCCAGACTTCCTGGAGGAAAAGTTTCTCCCAGTTCCTATAACTTTTAGCCCATAATGGCCTAGTCGTAAGGCAGGCTGACATCATGGAGGGGCATGACAGAGGAGAAACTGTCCATGGTAGGCAGGAAACAGCAAAAGCAAACCAGGCTGCAAAGGCCACATTGGCAGCCTTCTCTCTCTCCCTTCCACTTCATCCACACTCTATTGCCTCTGGGGTGTATGCCACCCACACCCTTTATCCTAGTGCCCTTAATCTCAGGATTGCATGTATCCATCCCACTGTCACCTCCTTGATCTCTGTGGGCATCATCCATAGTTCCAGCCTGTTCTGGAAAGCCACACTTATGAACACATGAGGCTTTGGAGGTACTTGTAGATACAAGCCATAGCACACTGCTGTGGAAAAGCTACTTGAATTTTTATGAGATGTTCTGATACAGGGTTTGGGGAACTGTTCTGCTCATTTGTCCCCAGAATTTGTATTGAACAGATGACACTAACTTTTCTAGCTGGCTTTGGAGTGACTGAATTTCCTCTTTCAGCTTATGATGCCCAAGCTCTAATGTAATTTTCATGAGTGGTGGAAGCCAGGAGTTGGGTGGAGAGGTGGATGGGTTTATTTATGAGGGATAGAGTGGGTGGGACTTCCTGCCATCAGAAGCCCACCTCAAAGAAGCGTCTTTCTTCTGTTGATCTTTCAGAACACAGAGCTTTGGTTCTTTGCTGTGGGATACATGAAGGCCAAGGCAGCCAACAGGGGAGGTGAGTCTCCATTCAGCAACCTTCTCCTTTTAATGATTTGCAGCACATGTGTGGACACATGATGATTCCATTCAGTTTGGGCTCATGATACAGAGACAGCATATCTTGATCCTGGCTTCTCATTCCTAACCCACTATCTTGTCCTCATCTTGTTCCCCAGATGCCCCTCAGAATCCTCAATGGAATCAACTGCTGTTTCTCGATTATTTTATGTTGCTCTTGACAGTGTTGAAGCTGAGAGCCCTCATGAACAAAGACTCCTTCCTGAAGAGCACTTCACATTTTCTTGGGTGGCTTCTTGCCATCCTTTGCATGGGTGTGCCATCTGTGTATATGTATGCCCACCGAGGAGGTGGTTCCTCTTCCACTCTCATCTTCAAACTCTTCATCTTCCGATGGGCTTCAGGTGTTTTTCAATCGAAACTGGTGGAAGGACTCACTGGAAATTTGGATGACCACACCCTCTGTTCCCTAAGTCACAGAAAGTATTTCTCCCAGGAGTTGAAAGTGTTCTGTCTTGAGTGGATGTGCTGACTCTAGGATGGAGGATAGAAGTTGTGCACAGTGCAAGAGTCTGTGAGAGAGGGAAGCATCTTTCTGCCAGGAAAGATTCAGGGCAGAACCCTGGCATCCTGGCCCAGGGTATGTGGAGGCTCTCTCAACCTGTGCATTTGGCAACTTTCTGTTAAAATTTTGTGAGTGCATGTGTTCAACATGAGGAATCCATTCAGTTCAGCACTGGATCCATGTGTGTACAATGTCTTGCTCACTTCTTCTACTCCTTACCTTCTGGGTCTCTCCCCACCGTGTTGCCTGAATGGCCTGTTTCCATACTATCTAGGTAGTGTCCATGTGCATTTGCCTTTTGATCACAGGGAGAAAGTTGACATCCATGAATTGGTATCTATCCTGCTTCCACATCTGCTAAAAAGATGAGTATTCACCTATCACTTTAATACAAAAACTTTAAAGGTGGGGAGGAATTTAGCCATTTAGCTGACAAAAAGGAATTTCTATTTTTATTGTTTGAGGAAAGTGTGTTCACATTTTTACAGATGCTATGACAGAATGATCTTCACAGCAACAATATAGGAAGGTGCATTCTAATATTTTGGAATATGAAAGAATTGAAAGTCCTGGAAGATTATTTGAATAGTTATTATCAAAATGGTGGCATTCACTTGGATTCTGAATACTCCCATAAGGTTAACAATTTTGCAAATACTGATTGTGTATAGTAAGTCCCCAACTTAAAACATTCAAGTTGCAAATATTCAGAGATACAAATGGACCTTGCATTATGAACATTCCCAGATCCAAACAAATTGCAGAAGTAGCTCACGTGTCTCTCAAACATTGTGACAGTTGTGCTGTGTGCTTACTGCACAGTATGATAGCGCACAGTAGTATAGTACAGTTAGGGACTTACTGTATTTATGGTGTTTGGTTTTTTAATGCCTTACCTTGTATATTTGTGTCAAAGGTACATAAGATTCACTGTCAGACTTATAAATGAATCTGACTTATGAACATTTTCCTGGAAAGGAAGTCATTCATAAGTCAGGAACTTGCTATACATTTAAATACATATACTATTCCTTACATAAATTGATATTTGCATAGATGTAGTCTTTATAGTATTTTCATAGATGTGGTCTTTCATAAAGTGGCTTTTAGAAAATACTTAAATTTATATAATTATATATCCCTACCTTGGCTCCTAGCCAAAAAATATATTATACACACATATACTCAATGTCTAAATGAAATTTAGACATTTTTATAATCTTGAGCTTGGAAAATGTTTATTCGGATACAATAGATAATGTCATTTGTGTCATATCAGCACTCCTATATTTCAAATGTTGGAATATTTCAAATATTTTCAGGTTGTAGATACTCAACATCTGTGCATCTTTGGAGAAATACTGTAAGACTGAAGAAATCTGAACATGGCCTAATTTGTAGGTTTTTTTTCAGTATCAGGGATTGAACTCAGGACCTTGCACTTGCCAGACAGGTGCAGTGCCACTGAGCTACATCCCCGGCCCTGTATAGTTTGGTTTTAATGTTTTTATTCACATACTATTGAGGAAGTATTTTTGTTGTGGCTGCAAATTGCCTTAGATGTCTACTGCATTTTTTGTACTCATCTTCAATGTGGCCATCATCCCAGTTTCTTTCTAAAGTATAGAAACAGAAATATAATGATGAATTACTCCATTACATAAAAATTAAGAGATTCAAGTTCTATTTAAGGAACATGTGACCGTACATAGAAATGTTTCCATATTCCACTTAAGGAAACTGCACTGATGAACAATGCCAATGCTTCCCCAAAATAACCAATGCTTGCATAAATGAAAAAAGAAAATCATCCTTACCTACTGAAGACACATTCCTAAAGGTTTCCCACATCACATCTCTTTAGAACTTATTTTGAGATGGATCCAGGGAAGCCCACTTCTCCATGGTGAAGTTCAGGGCCACATCCTCACAGGTCAGTGCCTCCTAAATCAGCAGACATAAATATCCAGGAAGATGATCAAGACTCATCTGAAACATCTCACATCTACTCACAAGCTGAAATGAGGCAGATTCCTCCAAATATTTACTTCATGTCTTGGTCATCAAACATAATCTCACACAGGGATTTGGTGCTACATTAGAATTCATTGCTAAAGCAAGAGCAGAATGGCACAACTGTTTCTCCTGCTGGTTAACCTCAGTTTTCTACACCTACTGTTTATACAGCATGGTTCATAGAGGGAGATGTGATTGGCATCTAAGTAAAAAACTCAAGTAGAAAAATACATAATGGATGGCTCTGACATCATAGAAAATGTCTTTTCTCAACTATTTAGGAACTGATCCCTTACTTCCCAGACTGCATTTAGATAGAATTTTGAAACTTGAACCTGGTTGCAAAGCAAAACCTTAATTGAATACTAAGGAAAATTAATGAATGATATTTTAAACTGTTAAAAATATTAGTTTTTATTACAGAATGTCTAAGAACAATTAAATTAGACCAAGGAAGACACATGATCTTATAGCTCAAGGACAAAGACAGGTCACATGTCACAGATATAAAACATTTATAAGGTGCCATAAAGGAGAGAAATAGGGGATTGGATGTGATCAAAATATATATGTAACGAACACCAATATTTTAAACTAATAAGCACTAATAATAGGAAAAATTGTAGACAAATTTTTGTCACATCCAAATCTCACCTTTGATTTGGCAAAAATAACTAGAACTGTTCAATATAACAAATGTTTTACAATGTTCAATAACCAGTAAAGAAGGTGACACATTGGTTAATATATATGAGATTCAAAATCTATTAGAAGTGAGAATGAAGAGGAAGACAATCTTTGATGGGCTTACATGTAAGTATTGATTCATGGTAGAGCTCTTACTGTACAAAATGGCAGAAATAACCATCTGTTTAATATAGGAGGCAGGGACAAGCAGGTACATACACTAAAACATGCACTTTGTTCTTCATAGTCCATGTATAATTAAGTTACATTTTGGAATGCTAACAATAAACTTAAATACTTTGAGAATTTAGTCAAATAACTTTGGGATGTGAAAAAAATGTTTCTCCATTAGAAAATCATGAAGCCATCAGAATTACAGGGAGAAATTTAAATCTATATGAATTGAGAGAGGTAAAAGAGACAATAAAAATATATATATTTGCACTTTATACAATAAAAAGAATATGTGTAGTGGGTAAACCAATGAACACATAAGAAAAATAAAACATATAATTCGAGAAAACACTAAATATAAACAAGATCCATGACCTTGGTTGAGGATATAGCCAAAGGAAATGGAATGGTGGAGTCTACTAGGAAGTAGACTTAAGAAAGAATAAATGATCAAATGACACACTCCACAGTCATATCCTATACTTTGGGGAACAAAATCTACAGACCAGTGATTTTATTCCAATGTTCAGAAAATATGTTGTGCTGTTGTTTCTGAAGACAAATGTGATTCTTTAAAAAAAGAAAACCACATCTATAAAATATAAACTTGAAAAAGCTTCAACCATGTAACCATTGTAATGGATGAGAAAGCATTTGGACCTCAGACATGAGCACATATGAACTACAGTGAGACAAAGAATCCACATAAAATCTGTCTGCATAATTTCTATATTACTCAATGAGCATTTCAGTAGGTCAAAACTGAAAGAATACTGCACAAAGACAATAACACATGGTAACTTAGGAAAAATAGCAATAGAGTGGTAATCCAAGGAGAAGACAAGGGTAAGTCCAATAGGATTTCACCTGGCTATTCTTAACTACTGTCCAAGGCCCAGTTATAAGTTTGTGTTCCCACGATATTATTATTATTATTACCAGAAACTTTTTTGAAAATAAATTTATTGAAAAATATTTAAATACTAAATTACCATGTGGAAAGTCACTGTGGATTTATGTATGTTTGTCCACATTCTAACAGAAAAAAATGAGAACATTTTCAGTATGGGCATGGTAAACAGCAGCACAACTGCAATCACCAGGCCTCTAGACATCCAACAAGCAGTGGTCTACCCGCTGGGCATCAGAAGAGTAGATTAGACACCCAGAGAAAGAAAACACAGGCATACAAGCTAACAAATGAGCAGTTATCCTACTTATTATGTAAAATCCTATGCTATTCTTGAGAGGAGTGGTTTTATGTTCACATTTGTGAAGGTATGACGAAGAAAACCAACATAACATACACAGGAATATTAATCCCATAACTGAGGACTCAGGTAGATTACAGCACAACTCTCAACCAAATATCCTGAGTTAAAAAAAAACAAAAAAGAAGCCTGGCCTGAGAGGTTAGTGAAGTTAAGGTTAGGGTTAAATTTTTCATATTGTTTACAAAGAAGGGATTTCTCTCCATTGGTCAGGTCAATGCAAGTCACTTTATATATTCAAATGTCACTTTCTCTAAGTTTTTTAATGTCTATGATCATTCCTAGCATAATTGAATGTTTTTCCATGTTGCTTACATACACATTTATATCCTAAATGACTCGTGTATTTGCCAATACCAGTATGTACTGAAAGTTTTTCCTTATTGCTTATAAACACAGGATATATCCCCAATGAATTCTTTCATGTCTTTGACAAACACTGTGCTGCAAGTTATTCTACACTGCTTACATAGATTTTCTCCCATGTGTTCTTTTATGGGTTTCTCAATTGCTGTTTGCTGAAAGCTTTCCCACATTACTTACATACATAGGATTTCTGCCCAATGTGAGTTCTTTCATGTATTCGACAATACCTCTGTGTTGTGAAACCTTTCCCACACTGCTTACATACATATGGTTTCACCCTACTGTGAGTTCTTTCATGTTTTTGACAACTACTTCGTGTGCTGAAAGCTTTCCCACATTGCTTACACACATAGGGTTTCACCCCAGTATGAATTCTTTCATGAACTTGACAATTACTTTGTGTGCTGAAAGCTTTCCCACACTGCTTACATACATAGGGTCTCTCCCCAGTGTGAGTTCTTTCATGTATTCGACAATGACTGTGTGTGCTGAAAGCTTTCCCACATTGTTCACATTCATAGGGTTTCTCCCCAATGTGAGTTCTTTCGTGTATATGACAATGACTGTGTCTGCTGAAACTTTTCCCACATTGCTTACATATGTAGGGTTTCTCTCCAGTATGAGTTCTTTCGTGTATTTGACAAGCACTGTGCCTGCTAAAACCTTTCCCACACTGCTTACATACATAGGGTTTCTCCCCAGTGTGAATTCGTTCATGTGTTTGACAATTACTATGTCTGCTAAATGCTTTCCCACATTGCTTACATAC